AAATTGACCCCCCCCCCAGCGTATCCTGGTTTTCAAGTACCCCAGCGGGGATAGGGTTAACTTGCTAATTATACCGTCTAATTTTAATTTATGGACTAACCAACTTTCTAATCTGGTAAAACTCTTCAATCGCAAATTGTTGAGATAAATCATTTATTCAATCGTGTTCAAATCTACCTGTATTAAGTATTTTTAATTTTTCAGATAAAATGGCAAGCGAACGTTACAGTTTCTCTTTGACAACATTTTCCCCCTCCGGAAAACTAGTTCAGATTGAATATGCACTGATGGCAGTGTCGTCAGGAGCCCCATCGGTGGGCATCAAGGCTGGCAACGGGGTCGTGCTCGCCACTGAGAAGAAGAACAAGAGTATCCTTGTCGAGGGTAACTTCACAAACAAGATCCAACAAATCTGCGGGCACATCGGGATGGTGTACAGCGGCATCGGTCCGGACTGTCGTCTCCTCATCCGTAGAGCGCGTAAGATGGCGCAGGATTACTACCTGATGTACCATGAGCCCATCCCGACCGCGCAGCTGGTGTCTAGGGTAGCCCTGGTGATGCAGGAGTACACCCAGTCAGGAGGAGTCAGACCTTTCGGTGTTTCCCTTCTTATCTGTGGTTGGGATGAACCTGGAAAACCTCTCCTGTTCCAGTGCGATCCTAGCGGAGCTTACTTCGCCTGGAAAGCCACCGCATTGGGTAAAAATAGCATCAACGGTAAAACCTTCCTGGAGAAGAGGTACAGCGAGAACTTGGAGCTCGAGGATGCCGTCCACACCGCTATCCTCACCCTAAAGGAGGGGTTCGAGGGGCAGATGACGGAGGAGAATATTGAGATCGGTATTTGTAACGATCAAGGGTTCAGGCGTCTCACTCCAACTGAAGTCAAGGATTATCTGGCCAACATTCAATAAATCGCGAATCCAATTCAACACTGAAATTTCGTAATAAAATTCTGTTCTCCTAACTTAATCCTGTCATAATGTATTTTATTGAAATTAAACCTAAAATTAAATTCTCTGTATGAAGTTCAGTTTGAATTAAATACTTTGTGTTTGTGATCCAAAAACTTGATAATAAATTTCAGAATCAATTTTTACAGAAAAATGAAATTAAATTGTTCGTGTGGAGACTAATAAAGATAAAATGTCGGGTCGACTGAAAGCTGGTGGGTCGAGTAAGCATCGGCCCGGGTCCGTTCAAAAAAGTATTTCTTCGTTTTTTATCAAACCGTCACAGGAGAAGTCTGGAGATAAGAGTGTAAACCGAGTAAACCAGGTGCGGTTTAAGGCCAACATCGACCAATATACATTAAATTGTATACAGCTTAACCTAATAGTTCGTTTAGATTATTTTTCAATGTGTTGTATATTAACATACAGGGTTACCCACAAAGGATTAGATTTCAGAGACGACTTTATGAAATTTATTTTGTCTGTTTCACGAATCTCTGCAATTTTAAACTTGACGCTTTATTGTTCAATCCTTAAATAAGCCGTTAAATGAATGCATTAAGTTACCTTTAATTAATTTAAACTTCAAATCGTCATATTTAAATAGCTTCAGGTCGACCTTTAAAGTTTCATCCTGTACCTAATTATCGGTAATTTAAAAAACATAAAACTGCGGGGTTTAAAGAGCTTAATATAATTATTTAATTAAACTAAATATCTGCAGCACTCAATCATCAGTAGGTTTAGAAAATGTCATTTTATAAATTCTATCGATGGATTAAAGTGTACTTAATATGTAATCTGCAAGCACCGATTTCTCATATCCATCGAATCTGAAAACAAATTTTTCAGCAAAAAGATCCAATAAAAGTTTGAACAAAACTAAAACTTGAAATGTGTGAGATTAAATTATATACTGTCTAATTTTCAATAAGTTTTCAACATACTTGTATTTTATTATTAAGCTTATCAAAGATGTGACAAATTGTATGCAAATGAATGGAAAATTATATTTTTTTTTGTTTGTTCAAATACTCCAAATTGTTAATTTGCTGTGTTGCTTATTTCTTGCTGGAGCAACAAAAAAATATATCTCAAGAACCAAAATGATTTCATGTTGACTAATTTGAACTCACTCAACAGTAAACAGGATAAACTTGCAAAACATTAAAATTTATGACAAATGTATTTGTTAACATGGTTTCCAACAACTTTTTGAAAACAAATATAAACATGACCCTTTGAAGAGTTTGGGTTTTAGTTCGTAAACCTTGAAAGTTGTGCATGCAGTGTGCAACCATGTAATTCCAGCATACAAATAAATCAATTCTACTTGTTCTATAAGTCTGATATACTTTACTTAAAGGGAGTGGCCGGCTATGTAAGGTAGTTGAACTGAGGACGCAGTGTTGTGGAAAACTTCTTTAGGATTCATTTGAGACATAGTTCACTTTTTAAAAGTCTGTAAATCCTGAGTTTGAGCGCAAATTCGACGTTCAAAACTCCTGATTTGGGGGTGGATACGCTTTCAGAATTAGTTTTTTTTTTAATTATTAATTAATGACGACATAAAATGTAAAAAAATATTCTACAATAAACTACATTTTCAGGAACATTTTGAGAAAATAAAAATTAATCTTATCATCGAAAATAAGTAATGTTCAATAATTAGTTTCTATTATCTCATTATTCTAGTTTCTCGTTATTCACAAAGATGTTCGCAGATTTTCTATAATCATTATTGAAAAGACGACATTTGAAGAATTTAAAGAAATCTGCGAATAAATTCAAAGAAAATTGGAAATTCAATATAATAATGAAAACGAAATGATCGATTTTAGCATTGATTTATTGACAAATTTCTTTTGTGAAATATGTTCCTAGCCATCTAATTAGATTACTGTATAATTTTTACTTTATTTTTCGTTGTCGTTATTTAATAATTTAAAACAAACTAATTCTGAAAGCGTATCCACCTCCAAATCAGGAGTTTTGAACGTCGAATTTGCGCTCAAACTCAGGATTCACAAATCTTTAAAAAGTGAAATATGTCTCAAATGAATCCTAAAGAAGTTTTCGACAACACTGCATACTCAGTTCAATTACCTTACATAGCCGGTCACTCCCTTTAAGCCCCTTTGACTTGTTTGGATTTACATATTTGTCAAAAGCTTTAAAAAACTTATTATGTTTGAAATGTTGTTTTAATAGATGGTTATTTCATGATTTGTATTAATTTATGCTGGCTGATATACGTTCTGATCTAATAACACCAATAAAATGCAGGATGTTAGTGTGGCGCGAAGCAACAGCAATGTTCGGGATGTCCCGGTTGCAGCTGTTACACCATTCCATGTAAACAATGATACCTCAAATATTAGGTTTGTCAAAATGATTGTGCATTAATGTTAAATATTTTCCCTAGTCTAACATATTTGAAATAGCATCGTTCATATAAATATCAAATACATTTTACCACCCAACATATTTTTCATGAAAAAATGGACTAACGTTATTTTAAATGAACCTGAATTTAAAAAATGAAAAAAAGGGGGCATGCGCGACATACAAAGGTTCCCCTGTAATCTGCTCAATGTAATTTGCTCAATGTAATCTGCTCAATGTAGTTTGCTCAATATCGTCTGAAAAAAGCGCTAATTTCTGATAATTTCTCCATTGACTCTGACGCAAGAAATGCGGAAGTCAATTTTATATAGAAAGCCCAAATAAAGATTATCAGTTTTTTAAACAAAACATAGATATCTAATTCATCCTTGTTTAGATAAAACTTTAAGGGAACTGTTGTGAATCGGACTTGTCACTTTATCAATCAACGGTCATTACAGTCCCTTTAATAACATAAAAAGAACAATTAATTAGGATTTATTTATAAAATTCACCATTTTCAGCAGTGTGATTGACACGATTGATTTAACGGTTACCAGCCCTCGGCCAAGAAAATTTCAATACAAAAAGCCGAAAGCTTCCCTGGCAAGTCAACTTTTTGACGATGACGACGCATCAAACGATATTCTTTCCAGTGTCATCGAGAAAATCGAAAGAAAAAGAGAAGAAAAGGTAAATGGCCATATTTCAAATTAAAAAAAAAGAAATTTTATTGAATAAACACATTTTCTCTTTAACTGTTAGATTCCATTTTATATTAGTGATGTTTCTTACGCTTAAATGAAAAATAGTAGCATACCATTTTTTTAAAAGAAATGATTTAAATCGTATATTTTTTTAAATGATCAAAGAGTTAGACGTGTTGTAATATTTAGGAGAAAGTTAAATCTCCAAAACCTGGTAAGAGTTCTGACTCGGCTTGGTTAAAGGAACTTTTCGGTTCAACCCCTCCTCAGATTAAGAAAGCGGAATCTAAACTTAAGAAACCGGAAGTTATCGACCGGGCGTTGATATCTCCCTCGCCGTGGGACGATGATGATGATTTCCAGGTTTAAAACATAAATCTTTTTCTAGAGAAATAAATTTTTCGAGCCATAAAAATGTTATTCAAAAAATTTGATTCACTAACCTTAAAGACAGTGCTTAGGATCCGGATCCGCAAGATTTTGGCTTCCTGGATCTGGATCCCTAAAAATATGTGGATCCACGAATCCGGATCCAAGGGGTAAAATATCAACCAAAAACTGCACAAAAAAAATTTTTACTCCAAACCCCCAAATCTGAACTTTTGAAAAAAGAGAGATTATAAAAATTTCCTCATTTCTGAATGGTTCATCCGGATCCGGATCCGCATCAAAATTGAATGGATCCTAAGTACTGCTTAGATTCATTTCTTTCATTTTTAAAATTTATTTATTTCTTGCGATAACTCTGATAATTTTAGCAGGAGGCATGCAGTTCGCCTGCGAAGGTAAGAAAATCTCAGGAATTTCGGGGAACCCCGGTCAAAACCAATTCTCGAGGATCCCCTGTCAAAAATAAACCTCGAGGAACCCCGGACGATAATATTTCTCCAGAAACCCCGGTCGTTAACACACCTGATATTGGTGGACCTCCAATTGAGGACCTCGAGGCCGTGTTTGACGAGGAAATGGATATATCCATGGAGGAGGTGGAGGAGGAGATGTCCCTGGAACACAGGATTTTAGCAAAGAAAAACTTATCTTCTCAGGTCGGGCATTTGACTACAAGAAATTTCGCGGGGTTTTCTACTTTTATAATAATTAAAATTACTTTGAATTAATCAATAATCATTCATTAATTGTGAATATATCTTTGATAAAAGCATTTTAAAAAAAATTTCTGCAGTTATTATTCTATTCCCACCTTTTAATGTTTCTTCTGTTTAGAATAAGTTCGCTGGTTATACGCCATCCCAGGAGATAAGTCCCGTTAAAGGTAAAAATCCCCTAAAAATCTTATTTGCTTTTTTCTTTTTCTATTTGAAAAAATATGCTTTTATTTGCAAGACAAAAAATGTTTGTTAAAGAAAAACTTGCCAATTTTAGAATATTGGTAACTTGTAGCAAGAAAAGTAAAATTGGTAGAAATAAATTGGAAAGAAATTGAATATTTGCAACAAACTGAATATTTTCTAATCCCTATATCTTTTCATCCTGTTGGACGTTGGTGTTAACCTTTGATATATCAAACTAAGCCTATTTGATCCTACAGAATTCATAGTTTGAAATATAAAATGTCTACGGTATAAAAATAAAAAATTCGGAGTTTGTTGCTAAAAAGAGTTTGCAATTGGTAGGACAAAATGGACAAATTTCACTTATAGAAATCGGCAATTTCGTCCATACTGAAACCAGCCAGCTTTCGTGGTAAATAATATTAACTAAAAAATATGTTTCTATAGGTTTGCTCCGATCTCCCCCCAGTACACCACCTCGCCCTGATCTACTAGAAACCTGCCCTATGCTACCTAAATCTGATGTTAAGGTAGGAGGAGGAAAAATCTCCCTTAAAGGGACCGTAAGCGTAATTTAAAGTGACCCTCCATGCGAAGATGGTTCCCTTGAAACCTTTATCTGATGAATAATATTGAAGATGTTGTCGTTCTTCTAGGGTTAAAGGTGTTCATAAAATTCCCATATGTTTTCCTGCAGTAGAACTGCGCAAGTCACTTTTGTAGAGAAACCGTAACTGAAAATAATCAGTTTTCAGAAAGGGTTGTGAATCAGGCATTGTCTTGTTTGCATGGATGGTTCTTGAAAATTCGCTTTCAATCCTTTAAATCCTATGATTAGGACTGAAGAGATATAAATTTTCTGTAGATCAAGTATGTGAAATACTTGTCCAAACCGATGTTGTTTCAGCAGAAATATTTTTGGTTAATGATTCGATTTTAGGTAATTTCCTAGTGCCTGTCCTAGCCGCAGCGCTCGGCCCAGAAAGTGGCTTAACCTAACCCGTGGCCGCAGCGCTCGGCCCCCTAGCCTGTCCTAGCCGCAGCGCTCGGCCCAGAAAGTGTCTTAACCTAACCTAACCCTAAAAAATACTAATTTAATTGAAAATTGTTGAAAAAGTGGTCATGTACAAAATTGATAGGAGGGGAAAGAGGGCGGGGGATCCAAAAATCTTTCTCTAGGACGGACCTGATTTTACAATTTTTTCGCACGAAACCAAGCTCGGTAAATCTTAAAATTGACAAACAAACAAAAAGTCGGTTCATCTTGTCTTCAAATTATTTGAAATGAACATGAACAGACTTCAAATATTTTGAGAATTATAATGCACTAAATAAGTAGTTCTACCAATCTCTGTATCTGTCATATTTTTAGGAGCTAAAACCTACTCAAACCATTCCTGAAAGTCAAGATATCATTGATCCTTCTCCGGTGAAACCGAAACCCTCTCGCCTCTCTTCAATAGGCCGACTCCGTCTGAGCTCCAAATTCAAACCAAACGAAGAATTTGCGTCTGTTAAAAGTACAAATTTACACCCAATTTCTCCAGCTGATCCTGGGATAGAACGGTTAAAACCTTTGATATGTAAACTGCACGAACTGTTCTGTAGGATTCGGAAGGATCAGAGTTTTCACAAGGCTGTCACAAAAATCAACACCACGGACTTAATGTAAGAATATTTAGATATGAGAAGAAATTAAATACACCATCCATTACATTTTTCGAGAAAAAAAAAATGTTGTTCTTGATGAAACTTTGTCAATATTAGGAAACATGAGGAATGGCGGTGTGAGCTAGAAAGCGGGTTTGCTGGAATGTTTCTGCTCTGGAACGTTAGATCCGGGTTTAAACTTCCGGATGCCTTAGCCAATAAGGTGATATTTTTTCTCTACAAAAGCACATTTTTTAAAAAATGAGAAAAACCTGTGTTTGGTGATTGTTACCATATCTTTATTGAATTATATTCCTTACACCATCATATTTGGCTTAAGTAATATATACTGATTTAGCTGATACTTTATTAATTTATTTTCCAAACGGGCAGTTTAAAAATAGATAAAATGTTTGTTGGATTATATTTGGGTATTGTGTAACGATTACTTCTCCCCCTGCTTGGAAAAGTTTGTGGTGGGGTTGGGGGCCGGCATGGAACGGGTAGGGGGCACCCTCTCACCTAGCGGTAATCTGGGACGTCCATTTCGGGGTCCTGTACAGATCCTTTCTTAATACTTAATATCTATTAGTGCTGTAAGGTTTACTTAAAATTATATAACATTAATATTTTGTTCAGATTGAAGCTGTAAAAATATGCGCGAAGAAAATCCTGGACCGGTTAGCGGAATACGAAAAGCTCGAAAATCGCCCGGAACCATGTCGAAACCTCTATGTCCCAGACCTCGAGGACGAACCGGACTTTCCACCGTTGGAGGACGAGGACAGTCCACCGTTTGAACCTTCAGAACGTCGGCTCGAACCTTCAGACCGATCCTCAAGTCCAATCCTATTCCGGAGCTCTAAATTGAACTCTCCTGTGAGTATCCCGGAAACCTGCGAGGTTTCTCTGAAACCTAAAAGTTTTACTTTCAAGAAACCAGTTTCAAAACCTGTGAAACCCCTGGTCGAGGAGGACGATTATGAAGATCCAAGTGATTTGCTTATCTGTGATAAACCTGACAAACCTTCGTACAAAGGATTTGATTTCAATGCTCCGGGACCGAGTGGCTCATTCTCCAGTAACTACACTCCAACAACATTCTCTGGGTAATTAAACATTGTGATAATTATGTTTTTTATGGGTGGGGGGGGGTTTTCAAATACTTTATATCGACAATCCCTAAGAACAAGAAATGTGGGAGATAGTGACAGTTTAACTAGTTGCTTCTGGTTCAGCTACTTATCTTGCGCTACCTTTCTTAAGTTCAAGGAATAGTTGAACCAATTGTTCTTACTTGAATTACCATTATCATTTTTCCCATTAGAGGGGTATACTAGGAAAGAAAATACTAAGTGGTAAACGATTATGGACAGTTCATAAATCGAAATGTTAAATGTAGTTTGAGCTAATTATTATTTGTTTATGTAATTAAACCAACTATTAAAAAAATGTTTTAATGTTAATGTGCCACACATTTTATTTTATTTGATTTGATACGATTAAATTGGATTAAAGGTGTTATTATTATTGCTCCCTGTACCCCTAGGCCGTGAACTCGACGATGCTAGGGAAGGATACCTTTGTCCTGATGCCTACAGGAGGAGGGAAATCATTGTGCTACCAACTCCCAGCTGCAGTACAGGTTTGTGGGTTCAAAGCATTCTTATTCTCATTTTTTCCCAGAAAGCATATATAAAACTTTCAGTTTATTTTTTAATCCATATATAATCCCTTTTTTTCTGAAACTCTAATGTTCAGGAAGGACTTGAAACTCCAATAAAGCTGTTGGAAAATTACAACATCTATTATTTTATTTAAGTTGATTTGGATATTTTATGTCTAGATGTCTTATTTATTATGTCACTTCATCAAATTGCGATTATTTTTATAACATTGAATTTTTTATAAACATATATGAACAGACTCTACCTGAGGAGTACAGAAGGCTGTGGAAGTAAGAAAGAGGAAGAGATAGGAAGTAGGAAGTAGGGAGGTGAACTAGATGGAACTTTCTCCTCCTTGTCCTCGTCCTCCAAGGGGGAGATGAGGACAGCCTCCTGAATACAATCCATTAAAAAATATATTACAAAAAGCATATTCAGATTTAGAAAAATTAAACTGAAGAAATAATTAAGTTTTGACAATTCTTTGGGGAACGTAATAGAAATTCTTATCAATAAGATTTATGATAGTTCGCCTTTGGGCTCGCAGTAAGAAGTAACTTAGGAATTGATTTATTGGGAAAAGGTTTGGATAAAGAAAGAAATTAACCTTTCAAGTTTCCAATAACAGTGTCAAATGAAGAATTTAGATTATAACGTTTATTGTAATAATCATAATAAATTGTTTTCATATCAATTTTTAAAAAAAGCTCTGAAAATAAAACATTTTTGTACCTTTTTGTTTTCTGAGTCCGGGGTTGTTTCATCTTGGTAACCATTATGGTACGGTTCATCTAAACATATCATAAAATTGGGATCTTGTCCAGTATAAAATAGTTACAAGGAAAGAATACGTCTCGTCAAACTATTCGAATGAAAGTCAAAAGAGGTCAAAGGCAACTAATTATAATAAGATAAATGTGATGTTTTAAGACGTAAATTTTCTAAATTCAATACAGATAAGCATCTACAGAATAATATTAACATTATACATTTAACATATTTCTACGCATTTCAGGAGTATCAGGAGAAATATCTGAAAGCCCCCCAGTTTGGAGAACCCAGACCAAATAAAATAATAAATAATAATTAAAAAAGTCGCTGACATTGATTATCCAGAATCCTCTTACCTGAGGGTAGATTTAAAATCAGTTCTCCGTTCGGCGTTATATCAAAATCCTCCGGTAGGATCGAAGGATGAAGGTTCACCTAGATTAACATTTTTTAATTGTCTCAGATTTCATATTTAATATCTAAACTGTCATTTTATCAATTTCCCCAGGAGTTGTTTGTGTAGGAAATTAGCATTAAATATATTTAAACAAGATAGAAAACTTGACGATATTTCAGTCTTGAGTTTTGGTTTCTCCTTTAATAAAATTAATTTAGTATGATTTACCAAATGACAATGTGAATACTGCTTATTACTTTAAACATTTAAAGGACTGTACGCGTAATTTCAAGTGAAAAGTGTTCAACAATTACTAGCATTTCTAAAAATAAATATTGGAAAAGTCCGTCTTCTTGATCAGTCAAAGGTTTAAAGGGTATTTTTGTGAATCCGGGATATCCCAAATAGATTATCAAGTACAATAGGTGGCAACAGAGAAATGAACCAATTATACACGACGTCACAAGTGTCAAATATAACAAGGAAAACGAAATTTTCTGACATTAGTTGACACGTTTTCCAAGATTAAATAAAAAGATTAAAAATAGAAAGAAAAAAAAACATGTAATTGCACTTATTTTACTGTTAGATAAGCAATTTGTTTCAAAATTATCATTATTATCAATAATTTTGTCGGACACAAAACCTGATTGACACTTGTGACGTCAGAATACAGCTGTACTGAGGAGTGTACACATTCTACGTTGCCATATATTGTAAAAGAATCTATCTGGGATGTCCCACTATAAATGAAAATTCACATGAAATTTCGCTTACGCTTACAGCCCCTTTAAGTATGAAATTAGATAAAAGAACAAACCTGTCTTTTGAGTTCTCTAAGAGAATCCTGGATGTTTAGAATAGATTGGAAGACTGGAGATTCAAGAACTGAGATTAAAGTGTTCAGATCATCATTAACCTAAACAACATAGCATAGCTATTAAAATCACTATTGTGTCTATATTTATAATTTTTTATAATGAACTATAATGAATCCTATTTTAATCTTTAATTCTCCACATTTTTATTTTCTTAAAGTGCCTTGTACATGTGTAGAGATTCGTAGGTTGCTACAATAATAACATTACCTCAGAAAACAGAGTAAAAGATTTATTTTAAAAAANTGGACATGTGGCCGCAGCGCCCGGCCTCCTAGCCTGTCCTACACCTAGCCTTTCCTAGCCGCAGCGCTCGGCCCAGAAATTGTCTTAACATAACCTAACCCTAACTAATGAAAAACTAAATAATACTAAATTTGCTAAAAATAAGTGGTTATGTACAAAATTGATAGGAGGGGGGGGCGGGGTGGTTCAAAAATAGTTCTCCTGGACAGACCCAGGTTAAATAAAATAATAAGATTAAAGATACCTGGGCGTTGTTCTGAAGGTCTTCTGTATCCTTGACACTCTGCTGGACCTCCTTGAGAAGTGCCAGGGCAGCTCTACTATCCTCCGATATTGGCATCGTGAATTTTTATCAGAAAGTCGGGTTCGTTCGTTATATTCGTTAAGTATCTAAAACATGTACAAGTTTCTGAAACAAAAGAACGTTAGAGACCATAAACAAGTACGGGTTTACATAATAAACAAATTTGTTTGTGACTGAGGCGCGCATGTAGCAGAGAAATGCCGCAAGTTCTTACAAAAAGACATTTTACAGAGACGACATTTGATCTAGTTTCTAAATCAATTTTAAATCAAATTTCACGTGTTTTGAAATCTTTATTGTTTAAAAGTGGTAAGAATTTTAATTTTAATTGTCTTTGTAGTGTTTTTGGCAAAAAAATTACCTCTATAGTGAGAATATATAATTTATTTCGAAATTTATCAACGAAGACGATCCAAACTGAAATTAAAAATTTTCTATAATTCACAGCGGCCAAAAATCAAGAAATGCGCTGCCGAAAATCATCCGCGAAATTACAAAGTCATTCTTCCTCCTTTATTTTTAATCAATTATTATTGAAAGAATGACTTAAATCTATATTTTAACTGAAGTCAGATTCACTGTGATAAAAATTGTAAACAATTGATTATAGTTTTTATGAGTTATGTATTGCATATTCATCATCGGGGCCGCCGGGAATGTTGATTTAATATTTGAAGTGTTTACAACCGTTCAGGTTTTATGTGTTCAGAGCTGGGAACTTTAGAATGTGATATCCACCATTCTAAAGTTCACAGCTCAGGTTAATAAAAGTACCAATTCTATCTAAGCAATTGTATCCTTCGGTTCCGTCCTAGAGAACGAGTTTTGGACCCTCCCCCCTTCAATCAATTTTGGTTAAATGCAATTCTGTTTTTAACGGTGTGCCAAAATGATGGGGGGGGGGGAGAAACAAACACATTTTATAATGACTAAATATTATCTAACCTCAAGTTCTAACCCCCTATAGAAAGATTATAAATGTATTAATCAGACGACTTGCAAAACGAATTTTACAAATATGATTGATAAAACACCAAGTCCTGCCAATTCCAAAATGTGGTCTACCTTGATTGTACATTTAAAATTACCAGAAATATCTACGTAAAGTCGTCTAATTAAATGTGAATTAATTCCGAGTCTTTTTGGTTATGACTGTAGAAAAGTGCAGTCTTTTCACTAAAAAAATAAAAAATATTTACACAATTAACAATAAAAATTCTTTTCAAGTTTGAAACAAATCTCGTTTTCATTTCCTTGTTCATATTTTGTTTGGAGTATTTTGTGTGGATGTTGAATGAAAATTTATATGCAAGGAACGAACCAGCTGCAGGAATCCAAACGGGTTTATAGCCCAGACATAAACCATAATGTAAAAAGATGGCGCTCCACCAGAAATAATAGAAATATAAAAACAGCAGTTGAGAACAAAACAGGAGAGAATTAATTTACATCAAAGTGACTAAGAATAAAATATTTGACTAGAAAATAAAAAAGAAAAAAATTAGAAATTAAAATTAAAGTTACAAAAATATGATAAAAATTAATTATTTACAGGAAATCATTACGAATTTCATATGAATCTTTTATTATTACTATCATTATAATTCAGTGCTTAAGATTCGGATCCGTAAGATTTAGGCTTTCTGGATCCGGATCAGGATCCGGATCCAAGGGGTAAAATATTAACCAAAAACTGTAAAAAAAACTTTTTTACTCCAAAAACCAAAATTCTGAAGTTTTGAAAAAAGAGAGATTATAAAAATTTCCGCATTTCTGAATGGTTCATCAAGTTTTAGGATAAAAATAAGCGAAAAAAATAAAACAAAAATTGAAAATAATTTTTTGCTAAAAAAAAATAAAGTAAATCTTAAAGAAATGACCTGGATCCGGATCCGCATCAAAATTAAATGGATCCCAAGCACTGCATTATATACGATCACAACAAGAAACATATTAGTAGAAATAAAATAGTAAAAAAGCTGGTATATCAACATTGTTCATGTCTGAACAATAAATATAAACCCGCAAGTTTAATGCGTATATAAGGAGTTGTATCGTATTTATAAGGACTGTAAAAATGTAATTACGTGATCTTCTATTTATATAATGACATGTCTGATACTCTACGGTACCCTTAAAGCTTTGCCTGCTCAAGGAAAAATAATCATCCATGTTTTTCTTTTTCTTTTAAAGTTTTTCGACGCGAAAAAAAAACAACTTTTAAATTAATTTGTCTTAAACTAGTATGATATAAAGTAAAAAATCAATTAAATCAATTAAGTGCACTTTGCAAGGTTTTAGTGTGCCAAAAAGTTAATTAAAAATAGAAGATACATACGACAAAGAAGAAGAAACTTCTTTGTAAGAATAATTCTTATAACAAAGAAATTCTTTTTCGTAACAAGTTTTGATATATATAATAACTTTCTTTTATTGATTTTTTTCTTATTCATACAGCCAAACCTTTTATTCACATTTCAATACCTTGAACATTTTGGAAACTTTAGAAACAATTTGACTTTATCATCAAAAAAAAGCTTTTGTGAAGATTTTAGACAATTTTCAATATGTCTTTCAAAAGTTTACGGGGTTTACCTTATTTACATTACAAAAATGTACAAAAAGGAGATAGTCCAGGCCCGGGGGGGGGGGGGGGGGGGGGGTGTTAAGAATCCACTGTGTAAGTTTGCCTGGTTAAAATCTGGAAGAGTTTGCTCCTCTCCATGAGTAGGATAAAGCACACCGGCTCCAGGGAAGGTGTGGGAGCCAGATTGGAGCGCTAGCTGAAGATGCGCCTCCAGCTGCTGCTGGTTGGTCAACACGGTAGTCGGGAGCACAGGAGCAGGTCCTGAAATGCGCGCGCATTTTCAAAATAAATAATTGAATGCGTCATTGGAAGAACAAACTTATAAGCATCGGCGGGTGCGTGCAGTACCTGGAATACTGGCAAGGTCTGTAGGATCTACTGGTCGGGCAACAACTAAACGAACATGTACACCACATCCTCGCAGTACAGTTGCAACCTAACCGTACATAAATATTAGGGTGAAAATTAACAATTCACTATTCTAAATCTGATTTTAGCAGCACAAATATTGATATCAATTTCAATTTTCAATGTTGCAAACCCTGAAAAGATTCAACAAAAACAACCCAATTCACTATTCTGTACGGAAAATGAACCAACCTATTCAATACCGTAAAGTTATAAAATTGAAACAACTCACTTGTTCACTAGCCACCCCTCTCAACCAGTGTTCGTTTATTTGAAGGATGAAATCTCCAGGCAGCAAACGTCCGTCCCTAGGAAACAAAAATAAATCGTCCATTTACCAAAGACCAGAGAGTAACCCATCCTTCAACTGACAAAATCAATGAAAGGACGATATATAAAAATATTTTGATGAAATTGATGTAAAAATTTATTTAAAGTTTATTAAAGTAATACAAGCGAAATATAAGTTTGAAAAATTATTCATTCAAAATATGAAAAATCTGAAAAGTTGAAAAAATCCCGCTGATTTACCTGTCTGCTACCCCGCCGGGTAAAATGGTTTTAACAACTACTCCGGTCTGCTGGCCGCCGATTATACCGAAGCCGAGACCGGTTCCGTCGTTGATGAGGTCGATGACCTCAACTTGACACCAGTCAGAAGGCAACACGGATTCCTAAATGTACACAAACTTTAAGGACTATCATTGTAATTTCAAATAACCCTCCATTTAAAGAAGGACATACCCGATAAACAATAAACATCGGTACCATTTAATCCTTTCTCTGATCAAGAAAATTGAAATGATTGTTGTTTTTATAAACTAAAAAGTGTTTAATTATGGCAAATTCATCCAGTGTTTTAAAGCAGAAATTCACAGGTCACAACTTTGAAGAAACAGCAATTTTTTAAAGTTAAATATATTTATATCTCATTCGTTCTGCCTTCAATCCCTAAAAGTAAACCCCGTTTAAATTTTTTACATTTTTAACATTAATATTATTATTATTGTAAAAGTCAATGAGTTAATGAGTCACTTTCAAAAATCGTAGTGTATTCATGGTATAGCTTACCACCGTTTGCAAAACATTGTATTGAGAGATCTCTTTCCTTCAATATTAATAATTAACTTAAAGAAGGGGCTTGGGGATTGAAGTAAGCTTGACAAAGAGAAGAGGGGGGTGGGGGGCTGAATGATAGTGAACCTGAGCCTGTAGTCCTAGATTACTCTGATCAGTTCCTCGAGCAACAATTAGATCAACCTTCCCCTTGGCTTGCTGCAGGATAGAGATTGCTTGCTGATGTGAGATGTTGGAATCAAGAACCTAAACAAATTCGTTATTATCAAAATTTTAGAAGATGTGAATGTTAACTTTACTAATTGTTAAGATTGGGGCGATGGTAAGTTAAATAATTTACATTAGGGGTTAAATGATTTCAATACAGGGTGGGAGGTGGGAGGGTCAGGGGCGTACAGGAATTTGTCCTAGGGGCTTACATTTTTTTTCCAGGGGGAGGGGCGCCTCAGCACCCATTTGGTCCTTGAAGCCCCCAGGAAACCATAAATTTTACTGATCCAAGGGGGCCGAGTTATCATAGCCCCCCTGAGTTCGCCTCTGCGGAGGGGGGGAGGGGTATTATTTACACCGACCTGTCCATCAATTGCTAGAATCTGATCTCCTTCATGCATCTGTCCATCCTTCCCTAAAAGAGAGATCATATTTTTACTTGACACACAAAATTAGGATTGTGCTAGGAAATAATTCAGGGTTGGTTACACTGATAAAGAAATGTTAATAACAAGATATTTTTAAAAAATTAGTGAAATTAAAAAAATTATTAAAAAAATTCCAAGAAAATTAAGAGAAAACGATTGAAAAACCAAATATGAGATTAATTTATTACGTTTTTCGCTTATTTTTTATTGCTTTATTTATTCTTAATCCTAAATAACTTTAGGCTTGGTGCACGCCATATACACTTACACAGTACACTGTACTGTACTGTACTGTACTGTACTGTACTGAAAAAATGATTATGTACCTGCAATCCCTTCCACCTGTATCTCCTGAACATATATCCCCAGCTCCCCCTGGTGTTCACTTCTCAAACCAACAACTGAGAAGCCCAAGCTACGTCCTTCAGGCTAAAAATAAAGAATATTTTATAAATATAATAATATCCCCAGCTCCTCCTGGTGTTCACTCCTCAAACTAACCACTGAGAATTTCAAGCTTCGTATTTCAGGCTAAGAATAGAAAAATTTAAAATAAATATAATAATATCCCTCCTAGTGTTCACTCCTCAAACCAACCACAGAGGATCTCAAGCTTCGTCCTTCAGGAGACAAATACAGTAAAATTAAATAAAATATGAAGGATATGAATCCTTTCCTGTCTTGGAACTGCCCTAGTCCACCAAAGTCCAATATTTCTTAATAATCAGCTAGAAGACATTTTGGAAAAGCTTATAAGACAGATATCCTTTTTAATACTTAATCATTAATTAGATATCTTTATTGAAAGATTTTATTAACACGTCTTCTAAATATAAAGTTTGATCGGACAGTCAATAGGGTCATAATTAAAGGATTTTACTCGTTTTGAAGTAATTCCATTTGAATATGGTGTAGGAATCACGTGGTCTCTACAAAATTACTTCCATTATGCTTAAGATGTCACTGTCATCTTGTTAACTTACCCAAGTAAATATTGTCCAATACAAATCACAAATCACAATTAAAACGGTAAGAATAAGTTGATAAGACGACAAACCTTAAACAACTGAATTTTCAGAACATTTCTTCCTTGTGAAGCTTCGTCAACAATCCTCTGAAGAGCCTCATCACTTTTTACAACTCCTAAAATGATATCATTATTAGCATTATCCTTAAATCAATCATTATAAAAGAACAACCCTTCTAGCGCTAAAATGATATCAATA